CCCCCCCATCCCTTTTTTTGGGGGGGGGGGGAGGGGGGTTCCCCTTGAGTTTCCCTATTCTTAATCCCAAGCCCCCCCTCCCCCAGGTTGGCTCAATAGTGGTGGTGCCCGAAGGAACCTCGTACCAGGGTGTGGGGGGGGTGCCCCCCCCAATATCCCCACATGTCCCCCCCCGCCATGTCCATCACAGCAGGTTCTTGTTGCGTTTGGGGACGATCTTCCTCACCGTCCGGCGCTCAGAGATGTTCCTCTTGACGCGGACGGTGGGGGCGATGGGGGGCTCGGGGACCAGCGAGGGGCTGGAGTGGGCTTTGGTCAGGGTGGGGGGGTCCGGGGGGGCCACCACTGGCCCCGCTTGGGCTTCCCACCCTTCCAGGTCCTGGGCACCGGTGTTGATCCACGTCTCCAGCACCTGCACGTAGGTCTCATAGCGACGTCTCTGCCGGGGAGGAAGATAAGGATGGAGGTGAGCAACCACCATGGGGACGTCCCCGGTGTCCCCCATGTCCCATAGTGGCACCTCTCCCATCGGGAAGATGAGGATGGAGATGAGCCACCACCGTGGGGACGTCCCCAATGTCCCCCATGTCCCCTAGTAGCATCTCTCCCATGGGGAAGATAAGGAGGGAGATGAGCCACCACCATGGGGATGTCCCCAATGTCCCCCACGTTCCCAGGTGTCCCATATAATGAAATTAATGAGGAATCGATCTGCCCCACCTCGTAGAGGAGATACTCCTTCTTCAGGCGGTACTCATCCAGGTCGCGGGCTCGTCCCCGCTTTTCGGGGAGGTTGCGTTGATGCTCGAAGAGCTCCTGGGCCACCCGCTCCATCCACTCCTCGTGGGAGCGGTGCTGCTCCTCCTGCCCATGGGGAGAAGGTTGGGGTGGGTGACGGTGGGCACCCGTGGGTGACACCCACCCCATCCCGACAGCGGGGGCTCACCGGGGGGACGCGGCTGGGGGCGGCGGGGAGGATGGGGCGGACGAAGCGGCGTTGGGAACCGACGGCGGCGGGGAAGGGGGGAGAGGAGAAGAGGGCGGCCACCAAGTTGATGCGGGAGATCCAGGAGAACATCTCCTCCGACGTCCTACCGTGACAGATGAGGTCGTGGGTGATGTCATCACCCCTGGGGACATCTCTATCCCCTCCCGGCGGGGGGAAAGGGGGGTACTCACGGGGCTTGGAAGAGGAAGACGCGCCAGTCAGCCGTCTGCAGTCGGAAGACGTTGGGGCGCTTGGTGTATTTGCTGGCGCGCTCGGCCAAGGCGTGGTGGACCCCCAAGGGCTCTTCGGCCTCGGGTCCTTCCTCCTCCTGGGGGGCCGGGAAGGGTCCCGGCTCAGGGGGACGGCGGGGGACCCCCGTTCGCCCCCCAGGTTTGAGGAAGTAGAGGACTGTCCCCTTTAGCACAGCCTGGAAGGGTTTCCAGCCTCGTCTGCCCCACGGCGCTGAAAGGGAGGGAGAAGTTGGGGGGCACAGTTGGACCCCAAAAGACACCCTCCCCAAAAATGAGACACCCCCCCGCCTCAGCTCCACTAGGCCTTGGCATTGCACCCCCCCTCCCCGGGACCCTGATGGACCCCAAATGGCCCCACATCTGTCTGCTCCCAGAGATGGGCAGCCCCAAATCTGCCTCCGTAGACCCCAAAATTACCCTCCTGGGCCCCAAGAGAGGCTGAGAGCCCCCAGATCTGCCCCCCCCAACCCCAAAATACCCCAAATCTGCCCCCTTGGATCCCAACAGACCCCAAATCTGCCTCCCCAGACCCCGAGAAACCCCAAACCTGCCCCCA